GGATTGAGTGAAAGTTTTCAGGGCACATCATCAGTTTCACATTCAAACATTCATATACCTTGTTTCATTACATTGATTATAATCCCCTCCACATACCATCAGTTAACAGAGTTTCTCTATATCCTCTTTAGCTTTTTTTTGGGCGGGGGGACCAAACTAGAATTTTAAAAACTTTTTTCTTTAACAAATACCAGCAGAACTACCCATGGTGAACAAGCTTCAGCAGAACTTCCAGACTAAGAAGAAGATTAAACGCCTGGTAATCTACTTCCAAAAATTAGCCAGTGAGCACCCTATGGATTGCACTAGAATAATGCCTAATGCAGTGCTGGAAGATGAACCCCTGTGTTGGAAGACACAACACAGTGGTTGCAACAGTGGACTTGAGTATGCCAATGCTCGTGAATATGGGGCAAGCCCAGGTGTCTTAGGCTGGCTTCTCTAGGGAAGCAAAATAACAGGGAGCTACATCTCATGGTATTTGAAATGAACAAATCATTGATTTTCCAGAATTCTATCATGTAATCTCCAGCATCATTTCTATCACCAAGGCCTCATTTTTCAACTACTGATCCTTCCTCTTTGCTCCCAACCTTTGTATTCCAATCACAAGTAATGATCAATACATACTGATTACATGTTTGATCAATTTCAGGTTGAAGAAGTTGGTAGAATTCTTCTATTTCACCCTCACTGGCTTTAGTGATTGGTGCGTAAATTTGAATAATAGTGGTATTAACTGGGCTTCCCTGTAGGCGCGTGGATATCATCCTATCACAGACAGCATTGTACCTCATGACTGATCTGGATATGTTCTTTTTGACAATGAATGCAACACCATTCCTCTTTAATTTGTCATTTCTGGTATAGTAAACCATCTGGTTGTCAGAATCAAAATGGCCAATACCAGTCCATTTCAGCTCACTAATGCCTAAGATATCGATGTTTATGCATTCCATTTCATTTTTGACAACTTCCAATTTTCCCAAATTCATACTTCGTACATTCTATGTTCCGATTTTCAATGGATGTGTACAGCTGTTTCTCTTCATTTTGAGTTGTGCCCCATCGGCAAATGAAGATCCCATGGTCTTTATTCCCACAGGCTTTACTCCATTAGCGTCATCACGGTCAACTCTACTTTGAGGAGGCAGCTCTTTCCCAGTCGCATTTTGAGTGCCTTCCAACCTGAGGG